GCGAAATGTGAGCCTTCCCAGCAGACGCCGATTCCGAAGGCACACTTGCTGCCGCGGCAGCCTGGCCAACGCCCGCCGCGGCATCTCCAGGGCGAGCCGCCAAAGAAAAAGGCGCGCTTGGAACCGCAGGCAAAAAGAGGGCCGCGCGGCAGCCTGACCAACCCCCGAACTACGAAGCCCCACTGCACACGACGCCAAAGCCGAGCAGCTGCGCACCACCCGCGCCGAAACGGGAGGCACACAGCGCCCTCGCGTCGACGCGAGCACATCCTCCGTGGACGGCGGAGGTGGCCAACGCGCGTTTGACGGACCAGAGAAGTAGAGCTTGGATCAAAGTGGAGGACGGCAGGGACAATTTCGGTGACTTCGCGGAGCGCGGCGCTCCGCTGCTGAGCGCGCGCGCTGACTGGCGAGCACCGGGTCGGAATCCGTATCGGCGAGTCTCTGCGGATCCATCGTTTGCCCGTCTCACGGCCGTAGTGACGGCCACGGCCGCAGTGGAAGATGTCGAGAAATTGCTCGATAGCCCAGCGAACATCCTCGTGCTCATCTGGGACTCGCTGCTCCTCGACCACCCGCAGACACGCGACGCGGAAGCGGGGGAAGTGTCGCGTAGGCTCGCGCAACTGAAAGACAATTCGAGGACGCAGTGGCGGGCGTGGCCGCGCACAAGAGAAGACGAGACGACAATTATTGGCGGACAGTTGACCTCAAAGAGGCCGCAGGAATCGTGCTCTACCAATCCCGCGTCGTCGAGGCGTTAGAAGTTACGCAGCGGGAAACACGTGCGCCACAGACGACACGCACTTCATGGCGATCTTCGACGTCGCCCTGCGCGAGTCCAGCCAGAACCCTGGCGCGCATTTCAGAATGGCCGTGCCCGCCCGCTACAGGTTCGCCCGCGGCCGTAGCGACGGCCTCCGCCACGGCCTTCATTCCACGTGGTCCGAGAACTTCTGCGCGGACATCATCGAGGATTTGCTGCGCTGCAGCGCGCGCATCTTCACTGGGTTCTTCGACTGCGACGAACGCGCCTTGGAACGCATAGGCTGCAGTTGCGGCCTCACCGCGGGGGACAAGCCCTTCGACACCGTCTTCCGCCAAGACTAGGGGCCTGGCGTGTTTGACTATACCATCCACCACAACTTTGCACCCGTGCTCGGCACGCACGACCCGCGGCACCCCGTCTGCGGAGAGGAAGAAGGGCAGGTGGCGGTGCCGGTGCCTGAGTGGCTCCAGCCTGTCGCCTCTGGGGCCCCGATCGAGTCCCGAAGCAGCTGGCTCCCGCGTTTCAGCTGCAGCTCCCTGCCGCAGTGGGACGACGCGCCGATGGCGAGTTCGCAGTGGCGCACTGCTTACCCCGAGTGCCCCGAACAGCTCGAAGAGGGTGCGCATCCAGAGGATCCAGTCGAGGCACACCTCATCGCAAGGTTGACGGAGACAAGGCATACGTTCTTCCAGAACGCGCACTACGGCTGGCGCCCGCTTCCGAACCTGGGGAAGGTGGTCTCCAAGCGGTTCAGGGACGACACCTTCGTCTCGCACTGGCTCCACGGCATTCACCATAACATGATCTTAATAGGTCACGGCCACCAGGGGCGTGGGTCGAGGCAGACTGCGAGCGAGCAGCGGCGCAGCTGGAGGAGGGCGCATCAGAAGAAGAAGAGCCGCAGTGGCGGCTGGCGCCAAGGGGCGGTCTCGCGCCAGAGCGCTTAGACTGGCGCGACTCGGCTAGGAAAAGAAGCATCTCCTGTCGTCGCCGTTGTCACTGTCGCCATCGCCGTCGCCGTCGTCATCGTCATCACCGCTTCCCGAAAAGGTACCCGGCAGACTCATTAATGGTGGTATATGATCACATGCTTCGGTACTTGTACAGTAGACGATTAGGTATACATGTTTTAACGATTATTGCATATGTATAATCATATGTGTATATATATATATGTACGATCTGTCATAATTATTGCCATCGTGTGCGCACATATTTACACAAATAATGAGTACGTCAGTACATGTGAAAATATGCGCACGCAGCCGCTGCCAGTTCAGCGGCGCCCCCGCGCCCCCGCGCGCCTGCACTCGGCGGCCAGGCGGCCGCCTCCTAGGGGGGTCTGCAGTGGCGGACCGCAGCCGAAGCTGCCTGCTGACAAAGACACATGGGCAGCCTGCCCGACGACAACATGTGCATCTACTGCGACTGCGAGCATGCTGTCCCATTCCACATTCCTGACGCGACGCTGGAATGTGGAATGGGCCCCATTTGTGATACATGCTGCCGCGAGGCTTCGATCAGCGGCATAGGACACATCGACCGCAAGCGCCTGGCTCGTTTCCTGGCGGCCACGCGCGTCGCGGGCCGCACAGGAGATTTCTACGACATCTCCCTCGTGGACGGGGCCGAGTTGGGCGAGCTGCTCGCGAGGCGGTTGGTCGCCGCCACAGCTACGTTCCAAAATGTCCGCAGTGGCGGGCGCCAAGTTCCGCTTAGTCCCGTCACCGAGGGCGAATTTACGTGACAAGCGTATTCGAGGCCGCAGAATCGGAGCGGGAAGCCGCATCGCTGGGGCACGGGTTCGTCGATGATGGGCGCTGGGCGCAGCGGTGGGAGAGCACGCGCGACCGCGAGGCTTACCATGCCAACCGAGATGGGCGAACGCCTTACTGGTCGCACGACGGCTTGACGCCGGAGTCATGCGCGCGCGCCTTGCGCGAGATGCGTTCGCCTACCGGTCGCGCGGAGATGCTCCGTGCGACAGGTGCGCTGATGCATGCAAGGCAGCGCGCGCTCGATGCCGAGCAGCGACTGCAAGAAGCTCAGCTTGCGTGGCACAATGCGGTGCACATCGAGTCCATGCACAGGGCCTGCGCGAGGGCGCCAGCGGCGCTGGGTCGCATGGTCGCAGCGGCGCGCCTGGCCGTAGTGGACGACGCCATGACTGCCGCAGGGGTTGAGGAATGGGGGACGTATGAGTTTGATACGTATGAGGCCGCAAGGAGCATCTTAGCCACCATACGAACGGTCCTCAGAATCCAGTCTCCCGCTACTACGGAAGACAGCTGAGCTTATGGTCGAGCTACCACCAGGGGTTCCAAGACGGCGAGGACGTGGACTTCGTTTCGCAGGGCAGTCCAAGACCACGCGACGACGACGTGAACTTCCCCGTCAGCGATCGGTCGGTGGAGCAGCGAGAGGAGGACTATTACAGGAGATGCCTGCGCGCTTATTACCAGGAAGCCTACACGATAGAACCGCCGCCAGGGATACCTTGAGCACACCGACCAGGGAGCAACAGGCCGCAGCGGCGGCCGCACTGGCACCGACGCGGCTGTAGGAGACCGACGGCGCGAGCGATCGTCGGAGCAAAAAGGGAGGGCCATCGCCATCGTCGTCGTCGTTATCATCATCCGTCGCCGTCGTCTTCGCCCAAATCCCCCCCAAACTCATGACCACCTTCACCAATGCATCATCATTACCACATCCAGCACCATCAACATTACCATCACCATCACCTCCGTCACCACCATCATCACCAGTCTCATTTATTATCATTCTCCCCATCCTCACCACGAACAACAACAATCAACAGTATAACCACCATAGTTATAGTATTGCCACTACTTATCGTCATAATCAAACTTCATCACCATCATCAGACTCAAACATCATCACCATCACCATCACCACCGCCGCTACCACCACCATCACCACCGCCAGCATCAACACCGCCATCACCATCAGCACCGTCATCACCACCGCCGCTACCGCCACCATCACCATCACCATCCCGAGCCTGCTCTTGAGGCCCCAACATTTTGAATGGCGCCGCTGACGGCCCCGCGGCGGCCACGCAGCCTGCGCCGCCCGATCAGTTCCTGCCGACGGCGGGGGCGCGCGCCGCTGTGGCGGCGCAGCCTTGGGGGGGTGCTGGGGCTGCCAACTACGACCAAGTGCCCGACGCCGAGGCCCTGGGAGGGCGGGGGTTTGCGAGGCAGAAGCAGGAGGCGCGCAGGCAACTTACTTGGCGACAATGGGTGGACTGGCGAACGGGGGGCACCTTCTGCTTCACCTTGGAGGAGGCGTTGCCGCGTCTGCTGCAGAGCGCCGTCGGTCATCGACTCGCACCAAAGGGAAGGTGGAACTACTTCGCGTTGACGCGCGTCGATGTCGCCCTGCGGCACCCGGAGGAGCAAACGCTGCGGGGCGACGCGTGGGCGGCTGCAGTGGCGGCCGCGGAGACGGGCGATTGGGGCGACACCGACGTGGTGGAGTCGGGCGATTGGGGCGGAGTCGCGTCTGCAACGGAGCCGCTGCAGTCGGCGTCTGTCTCCGACTGGGCGGCCGCAGCGGCGGCCTCCATGCGCGCTGGGCCGTCGCAGCGGCGCGGCGCCGAGTCCGCCTTTATCGAATTTCTTAATAATTACATATAGTTTGCGCGCTGGGCCGTCGCAGCGGCGCCGCGCCCGCGCCGCGGCGGCGCGCGGCAGGACAGCAAGGCGCTTGCATGGTGAGAGAGAACAGCCCTCAGGGCGTGCAGGGGTGCTGCAGCCCTCCTCTGTTGTCCCTCGCTCCTCCTCCTCCTCCCCCCCCTCGCCCTCCTCCTCCTCCTCATCCTCACCCTCATCCTCATTATCCTCCCCATCCCTCCCTCCCCCCCCCCCCTCCGCCTGCGCCGCAGCCGCCCGGGCTCGCAGACGCAACGTTTTACTGCGCGCCCGGAGGGCCCGAGCGCGCCGGCCGCGCCTGGTGCGGGGCTGGCGCGCCAGCCATGAGCGATGAAACAAAGAGCGGCGGGGCAGCTGAGGCCACGGCCGCAGCGGCGGCCGAAATGACAGAGCTGCGTCGAAGCAACGAGCTCAGGTGCCGTTGCAAATCTGGCCCGAAGCAAAGGATTCCAGTGCGATTGCTGGGGCCGCACCCCGCTAACAGAGTTGGCGCGTTCCCAAATTGTAGCGGAGTGCGTTCGCTGGCGCGCGAGATCATCTGCATCGGGTTCCACCAGGCGGAAGCCGACTATCGAGGGGGCGTGCGCCAGGGATTTTCCCGTGGAGAAACAGAAGGACATGGCGGGGTACACCGCGTTCACGCAGAACTGCAAGGACAAGGCCAAGGGGTGCCTTAAGGAAGTATTCAGCCGCAGTGGCGGCGAAGTTCTCTACGGCACGCTTTCGCGCTCGCATTTGGCAATCATTCTGCGGGCCATCGACGCGGGGCAAAGCGGGGGATCCCTGCAGACGACCTGGCCCCTTTCGCAGGTGGCAGCGCTGCAGCCCATGTGCGAGGTCGGCACAGGCTTGCTGATGATGTCCGCAGTGGCGGACAATGACCCTGTGGCGAGGAAACTCGTGAAGGAGGGGGTGCTCTGCGAGGTGCTGGGCCCTGATGTCATGCTCGGCGAAACGAACTGCTCCATCATAGCCCAGGCCATTAATCGGCCACGGGCGTTCTCCATGCGGATGTCGCAACTGGAGGCGATGAAAGTACTTTCCTCAGATATCAAGAACGCAAGGGAGGACGGCAGCGACATAATCACCTACGAGAACGCGATGCAGGCGGCAGGTGCCCGACTGGGGAGCTTCTCCTCCGACCCCTCCTTCTGCGACTTCTTCAACTCCATCCTGAACCTGGGCGCCGATGGAGGCCCTCACATACGGGAACTCATCGACCTCGTCGGGGCGTGCGTCAATTCTGCTGCGAGAATGTTGCGCCGGCCTGCGTTCGGCCTCGCGGGCGAGGTGAGCGCGCAGCCCCCGCGTGAAGGTGGCCATCATCATGCGGTCCTGCAGGTTGCCGCCCAAGAAGGCTTCCAAACAGACAGGGGCGCCAGGCTGGCGCAGCGAGCCCGAAGCCGCGGGGCAGCCAACCCTAGAGCCGCAGTTGCGGCTCATGGAGGATGTCCCCCACGCGCGCCAGGTGGTCCTGAGAACCGACATCGCAAAGCACCTGGACAACAAGGCCTCGGCGGTGGTTCAGTTTCTGACCAACATCACATCCAGTGCGCCAGCGCTATGGCCGTCGCGGTCAAGGCGACCAACCCCTCGACGGCGAAGGCCCGCCAGGCGCTCTTGCAGGGGTGCAGGGCGGCGTACGCGAACGCCCTGCCGACAGAAAAAGCTGCCGCGCCCATGGCGACCTTCCAGGCACAGGAGGACTGGAATTGGTTCGATTTTGCAACGCTGCCGCCCGAAGAAAAGACAACCGCAGCGTCGTTTCAGGAAGAGGGGGGCGGGGCCGCCGCGCAGCCCGCGGCGATCACTTTCAACGTGATCACTGGGCGCCTCGAGAACGAACAGGCCACCGTTAAGAAGGAAGAGAGGCCAGCGATGCGGCTGCCACTGCCAGTCACGGCGTGGTTGGGCCAGGCAGCCGCCAGGGACATGGGCAGGAAGGAGGCCTGCATGGGAGCGGTGCTGCGCGTGCTGCTGGAGACGCACTTGGCGCACTGTTCGCGCGTTGAACAGGACGCAGAATCGAACCTGCCTGTGGCCCTGAGCCGCCGCGCAACGACCAACGAAGTGTAAGTGCGCACCAATGCCGCAGTGGCGGCTGGCAAACTCGCGTTGTGGCCATGTGCGCCGAAGCAGAACAATGTTCACGATGCGAGCAGCCGCGAAGACAAGGTTCACGTGGAAGTGCGGGCCAAGGGCTCGGAAGCGCCTGTGAAGACTTGTTTCTACATACATCCAGAGTTTGCCGCGCCCGAAAGCAAGGCGCCCTACGAGGTGGAGGAGACTGACCCCGCTCAACGAGAGTGGAAGTGGGCGGGCAAGGGGCCCATGCACCCCTTCTGGAGCGCGAAGAAGCTCACGGCCGAAGGGATTGGAGCGCGAAGCGTCGCTGAAGCAGAGGCGGGGCGAGCGCGTTTTAACGTGGAGCTCGCGCCGAAGGAAGTGGACGTAGTCATCTGCGGTCAGGTCATCTGTGTCCGAATCCCAGTGACGACCAACACGGTGGATCTCAAGGCGGGCGAGGAACTGATCATGGAAGACACGCAGGTGAAGAGGAAGAAGGAAGCGGCCCCGACCGACTGGAGGACAGCCGCGAAGAAGGCCAGAACGATTGCGAAGAGCCAGCCGCAGCAGCACAAAACCGCTTTCGGCGAAAATGGCCGCCAGGACATCTGAAGCGGAGGACGCAGTGGCGCCCGTGCTCCGATGGGCGCAGTGGCGCCCATGCTCCGACGCGGGCGGGAACGCAGGCACGGCGGCGAGAAAAATGAGGAGCGCAGGCGTGCTGATGCGGGGGGAGCGCCCCCCAGCTCCGGAACCTGCAACGGCTGCAGCAGCCGTTGCAGAACCGCAGTGGGCCGTTACAGAACCGCACTGCGGTTCTGCAACGGCTGCAGCAGCCGTTGCAGGTTCCGGAGCCGGGGGGCCGTCCCGAGGGGGGCTGGCGCCGGAAGGAGCCGCCAGAGGCTTCGAGGGCGCTGGAGGGAGGAGGCGGAGGAGAGGGGGAAGAGAGGAGGAGGAGGGAGGAGAGAGGCAAGAGGAGAGAGGAAGGAGGAGGGAGGAGGAGGAGAAGGAGGAGGAAGAGGAGGGCGGGGAGGAGGAGGAGGAGGAGTCAGGATGTCGGACGAGCAGTGCGGGGGCATGGTGGGAGGGGGGGTGGCGGGCAGCGCCGCGCGGTAGGATGCCGCGCGGTGCCGCCGCAGCGTATCGGCTCCAGCGCAGCCGCTCGTTCCCTTCGGCTCCGCTTGCGCGGTGGGCGACGCAGCGGCGTCCATGGGGAAGTCGAAGAGCTCGCGTGCTTCCCCCCAGTGGGGGCCCGCGCAGCTGGGCGAACGATTCTCTGTCTGGGGCGGTCGGTTGACAGAGCCGCGCGCGCTCTTGGAGACCGAGGAGATCTCTACCGTCGCAGGGCGCGCGAAGTTCGCCCACTTCTCTCTGGGCCTGCCGCGGGTAGCCCATGCGCTCGGCTACGCGCTCAGGAATTCTAACGGGGCTTGTGTGCAGGGGCGCGCGTGGAAGGAGATCGCGAACGCGTTCAAGGCCGCGGCGCGAGCCGAGGACGCCGCAGTGGCGGCTGGCGAGGACGACAAGGGAGAGGACGCCACGGGCGCCCTGCTCGACCTGCCCGATCTCGCAGCGGCGAAGGGCGAGGCAGACGCGAGCGCGAAGAAGAAACAAAAGGTGCTGGGGCGCATCGTTGTTTGTTCCGTGCGCGAGAAGTACCCGCTCGAGGTCCCCGAGAGGACGGGCGAGAGAGAGGTGTGCCTGATCTCGTTCAAGAAGAACGAGTGCTGGATCCGCGAGACGGACGTGCCCTGGCTCTTCGAGCGGCTCAGGTCCGATAGCGATCTGGCGGGGGCCCCGCTGGTTCAGAACCCAGGCGAAGACTACGCCGCAGTGGCGGCTGCCGCTAACGGGACGAACTCACAAGATAGCCTGCCTTCTGGAGAGAGCGCGGGCTCACAGACACCGACGAAAGCCGCCGGTCCACCAGTTCTTGTGGACCAGGGGGTCAGTGCCCAGGACACCGTGCGCGCCGGCTACACGTGCCGATGGCTGTTCCCCACCGAGGAATGCAAGGGCGCGTGGGGGGGGGGGGGGCGGTCGCGCGCGCAGGAGACTTGCGCGGGAAGGTTGTCGCGTGCCAGCTGGCCACTGTCACCCGCGCGAAGTGGCTGCAAGTCTACTGTGGCGACGAGCCCCCCTGCGCGTGGCACGGGGCCAGTCGTCTGCAGAAGAGGGTGGCCTGCAGGCTCTACCTGGACGCGCACATGACCGCGTTGATGCAGACACTTCCTGCAGCCTATAGCCGCAGTGGCGGCTCCGTTCGGTACCTAACCATTGTCCTGCGGTGGGGGCCGCGCTCGCCTTGGGGCTCTCATCGGCGAATCGCGGCGGCGCAGGCGCCTATGCCAGTGAGACTCATTAGCGAAGTGATGCCTTGACGGTCCGTGAGGAAAACGCAGCCCCTGCGCCCGCCCCCCCCTGGCTTCTCGCTTGCTTCTCCGCTTGCTCCTCTGCAGCCGATGGTCTGCAGCCGATGGTCTTATCCCCCTTGTCCCCCGCAGTGCGCCTCTTCCTGCCCGTTCGTCCGCGACGCCCTTTTCGCATCGAAGAGCTGCCCCGAGGGGCGTCGGTGCGCGCGCGCAGGGGGTCTGCGCGAGCGATGCCTCCCAAACGCCAGCCAGGTGGCACACGCGGGTGCACGCGCCGCAGCCTGAGTGTGCGATTGCACGGCGTGGACGTGTTCACGGGAGAGAACTTCGAGTGCGAGTGGGTGGAGAACCCCGAGGCGCAATCCTCGCCGCGCACGATGCAGTACGGCAAGACCGAGATGATAAACATCTGTCGCCGCAGTGGCGGCGCCCAGGTGCCTGTGGGCTTGTTGGAGGTGCGCTGCTGCTTGCGCGAACCGTGCCGGGCAGACTGGCCAGCGACCCAGTTTGGCATCGCCCCCCCCCCCCCCCCCGCCATGCATATCCGACCGACAGATTGGCGCTCATCAGGGGCAGCTGCCCCTGAGCAAGAGGCGCAGCCAGCGCCAGCTGCCGCTGCGCTTGAGCCAGCGGAGCCAGCAGCGCCGCAGCCAGGGGCGGCGGCTCCGCCTCTGCCACCCCCAAAGGAAGCACCCCCGCCAGAGCTACAGCCAGGGGGGGCACGCCTGCCACGCGCAGACGAGGCGGCGCCAGCGCCAGCGCCGCCAACGCCAGGTGAGCCAGCGCCAGGGCCGCCAACGCCATAGCCAAAGCTCGAGGAGCCAAAGCCTGAGGAGGCAGAGCCAGGGGTGGCAGAGGGGGCAGAGGAGGCAGAGGAGGCACAGGAGGCACAGGAGGCAGAGGAGGCAGAGGAGGCAGAGAGAGAGCCTCAGGAGGCAAAAGAGGCAGAGGAAGCGGAGTCTGAGGGAATCCGCAGCCCCCCGCCCACGCCGCCAGCCACGGGGGCTCCTGCTGTGCAGTTGGCTGCAGTGGCGAGCTTCCTGCGCCCGCCGCCCGCGTAGCCGGCGCCCGCCCCTCTGCGACATCGAGCTGCGGCCCCCCCCTTGGCCAAGGGACAGGGGGGGCTCTTCGAATGCGACTTTCGGCGCAACGATCCCCCCTCAGCTGGCTTCGGCTTTGGGTCGAGCGAGCCCGCCGCCGCGGAGGCGGTGGGCGCGGGCGCGGAGGCGGTGGGGCCGGGCCCCAGCCGAGCGCCGACAGGGCGCCGACAGGGCCCCGCTCAGGGCCGCAGTGGCGGCCTCGACAGGGGGCCGCTCAGTGCCGCAGTGGCTGCCGCCGTGCCGCTCAAAGTGCTGGGTCAGGCTCGGGAGATCCTCGCGAGCGGCGAGTGCGTCGGGCACTCCGCCTTCGTGCTCTTTGGCCTGCGCTACAACGTTCGCCCACTGATGTGGGAGGGGGAGAACCTCATAGACCTCCTTGCCATCTACGCTCCCTGGGCGCTGGAGGCCTGTTCTGTTGCGCGCCCTGCGCCGTGGAGGGCGCGGCGCGCGTCCCCCGGCCAGGCGCGACGTGGTCCGCAGTTGCGGACCTTCTTCCCGCGGGCGATCTGAAGGATGCCATGGGCGAGCCAGTCAATTGCCTCCAGAACATCAATCACTGGGCGGCGGCCGTGATCAGTGGCGGGGGTCACGAGGGCGCAGAGGCGGCCGACGAGATAAACAAGTTCTACCAAAAGCGGGGACGCCTCGTACTCGGAACTGTCTCCGACGGCGACTGCGGCATTGACGTCATGACGCAGATGCTGGAGATGCCCCAGAACGCGGAAACTCGGGCCCGCATCCGCCTGGAGCTCTACGAGCACGTCATGAGTCGGTACAAGGAGCCCTGGCTGCACGACATGTTGGTGCTCACTCAGGAGCTCACAGCGGAGCAGGTGCAGAAGTTTCGGGGGCCCGAAGGCGACCACGACGACTTTTGCTTCGAAGATCCCGGTGGCGGAGGGTCGCGGGCCGGAGGGGCAGGCGGCGCAGGAGAGGGGGGCGTTTCTCAGGCCGCAGCTGCGGTCACCCCCCCCGCCTGCACACGAGAAGGTCCATGGCATTTTGGAGGCTTTGCAGTGGTCCTGCGGGGTCTGCGACGTCGGCGTGGCGATGTCCATCGCCGACAGACTGCCCACCCCCGTGCAGGAATAACAGGTGGCCGCGCACAAGGAGAGCCAACTGGCCCCCAAGAAGCCCGAGCACGGCGCACCCGTGAGGCGGCGCATCAACCCGCACGTGGTCCGGGACCGCGACATAGTGTGCAAGGCGCACACGCAGCACCTGCAGGAGAGCGGCTGGGACGGCAAGGGCAATTCTTCATATCGCTCCAGGAAGGCGTTCTTGGCCAAGTTTGAATGGCCCAAGGAGTGGAAGTATACCAAACAGTCGTGCACCTTGTCTAACTGGTTTACAAAGTGGAAGAAGCGACCCGACGGCGGAGATGAAGATGACAAGGGTAAAGACTCCAGGAGACGCCGCAGCGGCGGCGGAGGGGCGCCCCAGAAGTGCCCCTGGTTGTCGAGCGCCCTCTACGAGTGGTGGTCCCACATGCGCTGCGCCGTGGACAGGAAGCGCGCCGCTGCTGGAGTTCCACGGGAGCAACGACAGAGGAATATCGCCAGGTACACGCAGGCTCCCTCGTCCCTTCGCCCACCTCCCCGTCCTCCTCCTTCTCCTCCTCTGATTCCTCTTTGTCCTCCAAGTCCAGTTATTCTCCTTCCTCCCCCGCAGGCCCTGCTGGTCGCCAAAGCCAAGGACCTGCTCGCGACATACTGCTCGGAGGCACTGGTGCGGGGGGCCAGGCCTGCGGCGCCGCAGTTGTGGCCCAGGTGGTTCAAGAGGTGGCGGAAAGACTGCGGGCTGAGCTTGCGCAAGCCCAATCGCAAGCACATGGTCTCGAAGCGGCTGCTCGCCTCGCGCCTCGAGACCACGATGCTGAACGTCGCGAGGGTGAGGGCGGCGGCAGAGGAACTGCGCGGGCACGACCCGCGCGCCCTCAACTGGGGCCAGAGCCCGTTCCTCCACAGCGAGTCGGGGACGGCGTCCGCGAAGACCCTGGCCGTCAAGGGGCCCATCGTTCCGCTGATCGAGGGACGCGACGACAGCAGGGCCAGGTGGACCGCAA